AATTCGTATAAATTCTTACGGAATATACGAAAAATACGGAAAATCTTATACGGAAAATAGTTCCATTCAGATAATTAGAACAATAATAATTATTTCACCATAAAATAACTTGACTTTCATTCATTCAACAATAATTAATTAATTAATTACCTTATAACTGTACATTTTCACTCCTATACAAAACTTCAAGGGCGTAAGAATAATACCGCGGATCAAGAGAAAAATAAACCGGAAGTATACCACAATGCAATGCGCCGCCATGTAAATAGAAAAATAGACTGTCTGCAAGCCTACAACACATGTCTGCACAATACAGGTAAAATACCAGTGAAAAATGTAATTTAAACAAAACATCTATCAGTTCATACTCTTTTAACAGCATTTATACAATTATTTCAACAAGAACATCATTAATTACGAAAGGAAACGCATTTATTACACGTACTCGTTCTACTTTCACTTTGCATACGATGACATGAAAAGTTGTGAATCCAATTTTAGAACATCACTCAATAAATGTACAATGCATACACTCAAATTACTCAGATTGTGAACAATATAAATGTTAAATTAATAGGCTAGATTTGTAATCTAATTACAAATAAACTATAAGGGGACTTGAAATGACCAAACTTTACAATTTTCATAGTTCAAGTCAACTCCAATCTGAATGACTCAAGATTAATGGAAATCGAGAAGGCAACAGCCAAAGATCCAGACATCGAATGGGGTCCTCTTAAATTGTAACAGTAAGTTACTTAGCACCAATGCTTTGATATAAATACGAATAAATAAAACAAAAATAAATAAATAAGAAAATGTTTTATAAGAAGCTAATACATGTAGTATAATAACACATTTTTAGATATTGTTCTCGTTTGAATAAAAGGTGTTTTTAAGATTCTTTTTTGAAATGAGCTTTGTTGTTGATGGATTTTATCTCAACTGGAAGTGAATTCCACTCCTTGATACCAAATTTCTGACTTAACAATTCTGGGGACAAAAAAGTTCATCTTGCTAGACCTAGTTGTTCTAGTGTTGTTCTTGCAGAATTTCGAATAAATTGATCACATAATAATTTGAATCTCATAAAAATATTAAAAACATGAATGAGTCGAGGTTGAGGAACCCATTACAGACATTCAAAAAACCTACTTTTTCAAATTCGTCAAAAGTAATTCTCTTCCTTTGATGGCTATTCAGTATAAACCTGATTACATTGTTTCGAGCAACCTGTAGTCTATTTTTCATATTCAGTGTAATATTTGATGAAAATTTTGATTCAATATCAAGCTTATTTCAAAAGTATGATAGTTTTAAATTTTGACTTAAGTATGTTCTCAGTTTATGGTCTTGGAGCCAGGTCTCCGAAAATCACTTATTGTGAACAGACACTCAAGATTTTTGATGCTCACTCCTCCATGGTACCTGATCCCAACTCTGATGTTTCGGGGATCTGTGTTTGCTCTGCTCTTATTTTGTATTGTTTTATGGACTTTGAGATTGAATACTGTTCGTTATCTCCATACCCTTCTTATTAAAGTCAACTTCAGAATACTTTTGTATTTACTTACATGCTACAAAGAAATTTATACTGTAGTGTCCGTTTAAACGTTGAGGTCTGTAGGAGCATGTCCATAATCCATCATGCTGTTTGTAATGCGATTCCTCTATGACTAGTCTTGAAGATTCATTATTTACAGTCACTATATAATTAGGGTTCGTCGGAATTAGACAATGTTGTGTATCGATATAACAAATAGTTATGCTTGTATGATTGGGGTTAAACCAAGTTATTTCCTGAGAACCTTCAGGGTATACGAAAACAAGTTCGCCCTCTCCTCCCTCTTTTGAATGCTTACTTACTTGTAGTAAGCAATGGTATTCTATATAGAAAGGAAAAAAAAAGAAAAATTAAATCACTGGTACCTGTCATCAAATTTCTCTCGAATAAAAATGAGATTAAGCTCTTCTTATTCTGTGACGTAAGCGGTCCAACATCTCATCAACCGGTCCAACATCTCACTCAGCGGTCCAACATCGATTTTTTTATGCCCGCTCAGCAAAACAATAGAAATGTTAGACTTTTTTCCGTATAGATTTGTATAGGAACAATTTTTAAAGGGATTACAAAATACTTATAAAAATTATGTGAAAATATTACAAAATACATTAATCAAAGATATTAAAAGATCAAAATAATATTCAAGATAGTCTAATATTGATAATTTAGTTGCAGTGTACAAAGCTGTACATGTAATACAATTAGAAAATGGAAACATCTTAATGTTTTCTAAATATATTATTGATATGTTTACATATAGCATGACTCGAATTCACAAAGAAAATATGGTTGTCAGTATATGTTTCACATAGCAACTGTACGATAAACTTAGCCTTTTTGCTTTTGAATTGTTAATCTTCGGTGAAATCGTAATCTGACAATTTTTTTTCATATCTGGATATTTTACTTGAAAGTGACGTCAATGGTAATCTGAAATCAAGCTTTTTGATAAACGTTTTGACTTTAACTTTTCAACCGTCATTTTCCCTTACTTATGCTCTTATTCATCACCTTCATCACTGCATATGAGGTTAATATCTCTCAGTTGATGAGAAATGCAAGAGCATGCTCTGAGTATGTACAATTTCTAAAACGCAGTAAATTATTGACAAACAAGTTGATGAATCAAGAATATCAGCAACCTCGTTAAATGTCACATTTATTAAGTTATATGGTCAATACAATGACCTTTTCAGCAAAGACAATTCATAATTGAGTCAAATGCAAACTTTTTCCGAACTAATTTTTAGGCTTTATTTACAAACTGCATTGTCGATGGATTTTCCTTTACCTTCTGATCATAACAAGGAGTACACGGTGGTTGTGACCGGTCGGAAGGAGATGCTCACTCCTCCATGGCACCTGATCCCAGCTCTGATGTTTTGGAGGTCTGTTTGAGCTTGAATACTGTTCGTTATATCTATATATATATATTTGGTTTCACAAATTGAACTCACCCAGTGAAACAGCAGGGCTTTTGTCTAATTTACAAAAACAGTAATATGTTTCATAGAGTATTTCAATTAATAAAACCCTGCACACATTATTAAGCACGGACTGACAATACAGGTGAGTTTGATTTGCCATTTCGCATTTTTACTTATAATTTTTCTGGATTTATTAAAGTTTTAATATTTTTCATTAATTATAAACGTAAAAAAAATGTAGCAAGAATTTTTCATAAGATATGCTACTTATAACATATCTGTATGATTCTAGGTGTGCCAAGTTTCGTTCTGTGGTTTTGTAGATATAGACATGGTTGCATGGTGAACCAGGTATTCAAAAGAAGCCACGATTTTTCATGTCATTCATTTCGTTGAACCTTTATCGATTATTCTTTTTTTGTAAGTTTTAAATGTTTGTATATCTGTAATTTCGTCAAGGAGATGGGTGAACATTACGAGAGATAAGCCCATAGTGCAACAAACATGAAGGTGAAAAATTAAATCTCAATTTTATCAAAATATACCTTAATATTTCATCTAACATTTAAGTATACTTTATGTAAAATCTCTACAACTTGCACAAATCTCATGAAAATTGAAGTTATTTGCTTATGAAATATTATACACACATGAAAGAGGACAAAACTAGTCATTTTTTAACACTATAACACTGTTTTTCATTATGAGTGGGTCTTCTCTCCATTTTTTTGAAAGGTAATCCTCAAAGTTTGCATAAAAACATACATATTTTGGTTTCCAAAATTATGGAGCAATGACCCACTATACCTAAAAAATATAAGTTTATGAAATAACTTTAGTATCTTTTTAAGAAATACTTGAAGTCCTTTAAGTCAATGGTCATATCACAAACATGATTTAAATGCCTCACTTTATCAGGACTTGTGTAGCGTAGTGGTTAGCGTGCTAGTCTCAATAGAGAAAGCAACTCAGGATTTTTAATGCCAGGGTTCGAACCCAATGGAATCCACATTATTTTTCTTGATGAAAGAATAAATTTTAACGAAAAAAATTCCCCAGAACTTTCTGTTTATCGTGATTTTACAAAAATCAATGATTAGAATTTTACTCTAAATACTAAAATAACAATTTGAATATGAATTTTATATATCTGAACCTTGTGGGTTTTTTACACGCTAAGTTCACCCATCTCCTTTATTATCAAACCGTTTATTGGAAAGCTGTCGTCTTTTAATGTATCAGACAATTTTGTGAAAAAAAAAGAATTATATTGAAGAATATTCTTTTACTCTGAACTTGATAAACCTTCTGTTCTTTAGACCATTTTTTTTGTACCAAGCACATAATATTGATTATGTACCGGTAAATCCATGTCGGCTTAAAGCCTGAAAAGAATTCCTTGTTAGTTAGGGACATTTATCCTAGTTACAAAGTATTATATTTTTTTTCCTTTTTCAAATATGCATGTTAAAACATGGTTTAACAGTGACAAAAATGTTTCATTACACTTGCGTCTTTATGTTACGTAAAGATTCCGTATAAAAATACTAAAATACAATTATCGAGGAAAAAAACTGAATAAATTGTTAAACAATATCATTCCCTATACAGACAGTCTAGTGATAATGGTCATAAAAATAAATCCTTTTCAATAGATAGAAATTAAGACATGTTCAACATCTTAGAATCACTTTACCATTGAAATATTTTTTTAAAAAATGTCATTATAAAGTGTCATGGTTCTTCTGTTTTAATTAAAATTTCAGACAGGCCTCATACTGTGCATATGTACCCATTTTTTACAGACATTACTATATTCGACATATCTACATCACATAAAATGCAGAATGGCAATCTTGAAAGCTACGTATTTATGAAAACTATACAGATAGAGAAAAAAAGGTAAACAGGCCCCTGGGCAACGAATGTTCTATTTCACTCAACTCAAGTCTGAGTAGAGTAAACTTAACAGAGTTGCTGCAAATGTATGAAAGGAGAAAATAACTTACCAAAAATCCAAATATTAAGCTCAAAAATCATAAAATACACGCGGAGTTTCATTTTATTTCGCTAAACTGATATCTGAACACAGGTCCATAGTTTATCTAGTTGAATCATCATTTAAAGGGCTTGTTGGTTATTAGACGGTTAGTCGATTTTATATATACTTTCGTTTTAGTTTCAAATGATTTCTTCTGTCATGGACAATCTTCTGAAAACGAGAATGTTCAAATTTATCTGGATAGTAATTTTCACTAATATTCTTATTTTAGGTATGTATACATCTTAAATGATCAGAATTCTTAACTAACTTGAAAATAACAAAGCTTATTCGTATATGATTTAGTCTATAATTTCTTATATTTTTTCAGCAATGTTAATGGGAAAAAGTTCATTGTATTTCGATTTTTTTAAATTTCTAGGTAGTTCCATAAATAAAAATGTCATCTAAAATTGAGAAAATTACATAATAAATATTCTTACTAGTTTCATTCCCTCCGGGCATTCCCTGTTACGCTTTACATGTGTCTTAGATATTTGTATAATTATATGAACAGAAAACGGCAATATACTCATTTTAGGGATGCTCCAAATTAAAGGCTTTGATGAATATTATTGTCAATGTTATATCCGATATTGTTCAATCTTTATTTGATTGTTTTTATGCGTTTGGGGATAAAATCATCTCACAATGACTGAAATCTAGCAAAGGCGTGTAATGGAAAAGCTCTGAATACATTATTTTCCTAAAAATCGTATTTTATTATTATTTTCTCGGCCTATTTGCAGCTGCATTGTCAGATACAGGGTTTTTACCCTGATCACGAATATTTGGACTTCCTATGCAGGAAATCTGTTTAATCTGTTTAAATTTCGTTGGTGCAGTTTGCACATAAAAGCAAGCTTTGCTAGTCCTTCATTTGGACGTATGTACGTAATTTACTATGTCTCCTTAAATATACTGAAAGGAAAAAGAAACGCATAATAGCATAATAGCGAATAATATTTAACTATGTGGCCGAAAATTATGAAAATTGGTCAGATGTGTAATTTTGTTACTGTGCACATAAATCGCTGGTCAAAATTACTCAACCCTGAAATGTATGGCATCACGTTGGGGAAGTGATAAAAAGCCAAATACACGTGCTTGTTGATAATGACAATTTTATGATCACAATTTGTAGTGCCAAGAGATGCATTAGAGTTACAGACATCGTTTTCCGATATTTGCAGTCAGTATAAATTTCTTGCAATCATGGTATGGCTGACGGAAGTTACATTGTGTCTAGTAATTGAGTTCCATAAGTGAATAAAAAGGCAACAACATGATGCTTTGCAGTTTGTTTTTAAATTTTCAACCAAAAATGTTTTTTCGGCTATCAGAGAGTAACTTAAAAGGTTTCCAACCAACCATGACGGTGACGTTGGCGCGTAACAACGTCACATCGAGATAGGGCTTTTCATCATGCTACCTCAGTTACTGACAAGTCATTATCACTGAAATCGACATTTTTACAGCAGACAATCATACTCATATTTTCACCCTAATACTGACAGAAACTCTCTGCTCTAATTTGGTACGCAAGCTTGGCAACTTTACGTCGATTTTACTCTCACACGCGCACGTACGCGCCGTATGCGAATTGTTTTTAGCATGTTCACGCTGAGAAAATGTAGCCAGTGTTTGTCGAGACTTCCTTACAAACATTCACATGTACAAAATCAGCTAGATTCTGTAATTTCTATCCTAAATCGAAAATTCGTGGGATTCATTAGGCGAGGGGATTTGTTGGCTTTGGAATAACACAGCTACTCTCAACCATTGAGACTATCATCGGAAGGCTTGAATGATAATCCTATGAGAAAGATAAATGCCCTGGTGAACTCAATGCACAAGAAAATCAAGGTTGTTACTGATGCCCAAGGGAGATGATGAGAATTTTTATTCTAATTTTGGGGAGTATCGACATATCATTTTCAAAAACTCAGGAATTATAAGTCAAAGTCATACAAGATTTCGGTTACTTGTTGTTTAAAGTTGGATTAAATTGTTTGATAACAATACTGGAAAACATACTGGAAATAAAAATTTTAATTTTATTCAAAAGTTTATTATGCGTTTCTTTTTCCTTTCAGTATACATAAAAAACTATTATGATATGTTTAGAGACCTTGCTTCTCTTTAAAATAACAAAATGACACACAGGGTTCTCCACATTTGAAAATATAACCATGGAGGAAGCTGCGCGAAGGCTAAATGTGGCCGAAAATAAAAATGCATGTTAGACTTCCTAATCTTCATTAATCAATGATTGATTTTACTATTTTTAAACTTAACCACTGCAACACAAAACAATGGAATAACTAACACTTTTTAAAGTTAAAAAATAATAATTAAATTGAAAGGATTTATCCTGTATCTTACTTCACAAATGTACTTAAATTTGCCCCAAACTGTAGGAACCTTCTAGAGGAATTAAATATAGTCAGTAACTATGGCATCCAGGCAATATTTTTCATAAATTATTAGTTATAAGAGTTGTTGTGTATCTGTATATACTGGGTCATCGAGAGGGCAATAATGTATGTCATGGAAGGTTCGAATGTTACTTTTGCATGTTATTCCGGAAAAGACCGGGTTTTGTGATTTAGTTTGACGTTTCAATAAAATATGGCACCTTTTTCAAGTTGTCATTTAATATAATCATTTGTGTGAAGATTGTGACAGTGTTAGTGTCACAATAGAATTGTAGCCTGTTGTATGAAATGTTTTGTTTCAATATAACTGAAACTGATGAATGGTCAGTATTTTCTTAAGGTAACACACAAAGGAACATTTGAACCAGTATTCCTTTTTTCTAAACGTTCTATTTTTCTAGATATTGCATTTTCCACCAAGTTTTGTTAACTTCTCCACGTGCCCAGTGCTAAATATAGCGCCACGCGAGTTTCATAACAACGGGAAGTAACTCTAAAACTATGACTTTACCGGCGATTAAAACTAAGCATGCAAAGACGGCAAATAAGACGTAGGCCCTATGCACATTTTATCAAAAAGATATTAAGTTAAAGCTTTAAAAACAGAGCATGGAAAATTGATTAACTACAGAGGTATTTTTACAGAGTATTTTTTCTGACACAGCATGCATGACGATTATCATGCTCGAAATTGTCATCTTTTATAAACCCGTTATATATATAATCTAAATATAGTGAACAAGTTCCCCGAAATAATTTACTTGTATACATTTACAGGATAATAAACTCTCAAAATATTGATCATCTGCTGATCAGCTGATTGACTCTCCATTGATTGTCACGCTTCACATCATAGTCGCTGAGGCATGCGAGGTGCATGCATATGGCAGTCGTAGTAAAAACACAATTAATTAATTAACTACTCAAGTCATTAAAAAAGTAGGTGTCAGGACTCAAATGCAGTACCATTTAATCATGGCGGGTGCAGATTTTAACCATGGCGCAGCTCGTTTAACCATGGCGCACATAAATTTATCCTGCAACTACCCCTTGTATTGACCTAATAAAGGTAACCTAATAAACCAAAGCTTTATCCGGTCACTGCCCTAATAAAGCCTTGTGCATGTGATTTGAACATATTTTATTGTAATATAATTACAAAGGGATTGAGCACAAGTACTGAATACTTATAACGCCCTCTCCCTATACATGTAAATTACACATTTATATTGTCACAGTTAAACATGCCTTGTGCATGTATTCCGACGTTCTAAAAGCATTGTGACGTCACGTATATTGCAATGTTTCTGCCATGGCAGTTTCAACTGCAGAGACGTGCCTGAATCTGTCGAAAATAGCTAGTTTTGGACGTTCAAATGTAAAGAATATGTTGCAGGATAAATAAAATACATGATAAATGACTTGAACTAGAGGTACTGTGAGCAATGGGCTCACTAAATGATACCCCCGCCTCCCATATGAATATAATGGCAGTGTCCATGTTTTGCCCTGGAAAATCCAAAGTATATGTCAGATCAAAAAGTAAAATAGGAGGTGCACAATGGCAATATGTAATGAAGATTCTATGCAAGTTTCATTAAATTTCCTTCAGTGGTATGAGAGGAGTTGCGCATAAGAGATGGGTACCCCAAAGCGTAACAGACGGACGGACGGACGGACGGACGGACGGAAATACCGATTACTTTTCAAGCGGGGGGTATAAATATAAGCGATATTTGGGCTCGGGTCGAAAACGTAAGAGGGCTCGGCAAGCTTTGCCCTCTATCACGTTTTCTTACCCTCGCCCAAATATCGCTTATATTTCAAGACAGTAACCATGTATTTTTATACCCCCCGCTTGAAAAGCGGGAGGGTATATAGTAATCGTGAATTCCGTCCGTCTGTACGTCCGTCCGTCCGTCCGTCTGTTACGCTTTGGGGTATCCATCTCTTATCCGCAACTCCTCTCATACCACTGAATGAAATTTGATGAAACTTTCACAGAATCTTTATTACATATTGCCATTGTGCACCTCCTACTTTGCTTTTTGATCCGACACATATTTTGGGTTTCCCGGCCACAGCAAAACATGGACTTTGTCATTATAACTATATGGAGGCGGGGGGTATCATTTAGTGAGCTCATCGCTCACAGTACCTCTAGTATATTTAACCATGGCTGGCAACCATGGTAAAACCCCTTGTGGAGAACCCTTGACACACCTTTTTCTTTAATTTCACTTTTAATTTTTCAATTATAAAAGAACATGTACACATATATGTAGTCATTTATTAATCAAGTTTATCAAATACTAAATTTTGTTAAAATATAGGCTATAATAAACCGCTGGCAAATTTAACATGTGTTTTCTTTAAGGCATCATGTAAGAATATAGGGCACCTATCCAATAGAAATACATGTGTTGTTATATTTTTTGCCTTCGTGAAAATTCTTCAAAATGCTGTACAGATGAAATGCTTTAAAGTGTCGTAAAAATCTTTTTCCATGTTAATCTAGCATTTTCAATATCATAAAATATATAAAGATAACAAACAGTATTCAAACTAAAACTCAACTAACAATACAAAGTAGGGGCATAGAAACCTCGATCTATGTAAGCGGATCAAAAGATCTGATTTAATTTAGATTGAAAGCAAGCCGATTTCATAAACAACAGAGCAGGGATGGGGTAATGGTAATTTGTAAAGGTAATTGAGTGTTATTAAATACAATTTTCGATGTAATTGAAAGTATTGTTTAATTGGCCAAATTTTCAATTAGAAGTAATGGTAA